TGAAACAACATATTAGGAGCCTTCTATTAAATTTTCAAGCTTTCGCAACCAATAAATAAAATTTTATTGATATTTTTAGAAAAAAAACTAAAAAAAAATGGAAAATGAAAATGTCCCTAAACAGTTCAAAATAAATCAAAATATTTTGAAAATGTTATCGTGTATAGAAAATGCAAATATAAACAACCAGTGAAAATTTCATGTATATACGTTCATTTGTTTTAGAGTTACACCAATAACCAAAATCGATTTTTTGGAAAACCAATTTTGCGTAAAAATTCCCGTTTATCCTTAATTTTTATGTTGTTTTTCCCGGCGCTTGTGAAAACTACTGTGAAATTTATACTTTTGACCCCCAAAGTACCAACTAGATTCACTTTCCTACCAGAAAAGCTACTGATGAAGAAAATCCAAGCACTTTTACTGTCCTAAAACGTGATGACAGACACAAAAATATAAATAAAAAGGTGGGCAAGTGGATGTCGCTCTGCTGTACAGTAGGTTACAAGTGGGTCACTGTATAAATTAATGGATGGTATTAAATTTGAATTCAATGATATAATATCATTGTATAAGAAAAATGATTCTGAGCGGTGACGGTATGTCAGTCTATGTATAAGACATATTATATGTATACGTATCTATGGTATTAAACAAAAAATTGACCTATAATAAGTACCTATAATAAATTCCAAATTAATCATATCACAATATCCATTAGATACTTATAACGCGTTATACATCAACAAAAACCGTGATACTATCATAGATATATAATAGTACACTTTAGAAGTTTCAAGTACCCACGAAAGTATTATTCAATCACAACAAAATAACTAAAATCGTAATTCTTGGTTTAAATATGAAATTTTGTCTAAATTTGAAATTAAAATGTCTGTAAAAAATAAGTGTGTTTATATATTTTTTAGATTTTTTGGTTACAGTATGAATTATTTATGAGAATCTTTGTTTTAAATTTTCAACTCTTAGTTATAAAAACTGAACATTTTATAATTTTTTAATTCCAACGATTGATAATTTTCGAGATTTTGATAAATTTTGTCAAAATTCCAACTTTAAATGCTTATAAAAAAAAATCGTGCCTATGTATTTTTAATATTTTTGAACTGATATTGTAGCAATATATCAGGAGCCTTGTATTAAATTTTTACACTTTTTGGCCCAACAGATAAAACTTAATTGATATTTATAGAAAAAAAAAACTAAAAAAAATTGAAAGCTGTAAATGTCCATAAACAGCTCAAAAAGAGTCAAAATATTTTCAAAATTGTATGGTGTATAGAAAATGCTAATTTAAACATTCAGTGAAATTTTCATGTATCTACAGTTATTTGTTTTTGAATTACAACAAACTAAGGAAATCGCTACATGGGAAATCGAGTGAATATTCAATGTTGTAAAAATTTGAATTTCAAACGCTCATAAAAATTTAATTTGACTTTCTTATAGACATTTTTTTTTTTGATAAAGGTAGATAATCTTATAAGGAATCTTGTGTTAAATTTTCAAATCTTAGATTTAAAAAGAAAAATTTTTACGAATTCTTAACTCAAAATAATTTGCTAATTTTCGTGATTTTTCCATATTTTGTCAATTTTTGAACTTTAAGTGCTTATAAAAAAAAATTGTGACTAAGGATTTTTAATATTTTTCATCTGCCTTTGAAACAACATATTAGGAGCCTTCTATTAAATTTTCAAGCTTTCGCAACCAACAAATAAAATTTTATTGATATTTCTAGAAAAAAAACTAAAAAAAAATGAAAAATGAAAATGTCCCTAAACAGTTCAAAATAAATCAAAGTGTTTTGAAAATGTTATCGTGTATAGAAAATGCAAATATAAACAACCAGTGAAAATTTCATGTATATACGTTCATTTGTTTTAGAGTTACACCAAAAACCAAAATCGATTTTTTGGAAAACCAATTTTGCGTAAAAATTCCCGTTTTTCCTTAATTTTTATGTTGTTTTTTCCCGGCGCTTGTGAAAACTACTGGGAAATTTATACTTTTGACCCCCCAAAGTACCAACTAGATTCACTTTCCTATCAGAAAAGCTACTGATGAAGAAAATCCAAGCACTTTTACTGTCCTAAAACGTGATGACAGACACAAAAATAAAAAAAATAAAAAAAAAAATAAAAAAACACACATCATTGTAAAATCAATACATTCATCGTTTCACTCAGAATCTAAAATATAAATAAAAATATAAAAAAAAACATACATCATTGTAAAACCAATACATTCATCGCTCCGCTCAGAATCTAATATTAAAAAAAATACATAGGCACAATTTTTTTTTATAAGCATTTAAAGATCGCATTTTGACAAAATTTATCAAAATCTCGAAAATTATCAATCATCGTAATTAATAAATTATAAAATGTTCAGTTTTTATAGCTAAAGATTGAAAATTTAAAAAAAAGATTCTCATAAATAGTTCATACTGTAGCCAAAAAATCTAAAAAATATATGAGCACACTTCAAAGTTACATAAATATGTTGAGTCATAAACATCCGAACCCTATGTCATATTTAATGTTATATCATTAGTACCTTAGGTATTTCAAATAACTAATAAGGAGGAGTTAAGAAAACTATTTGCTATGTATACATTATTTTAAATCATTATTAAGTCTATTATATTGGTAGGTAGCTCCTTTTTTTTTTATCTACTGTAAGAAAGGTATGTGTAAAATGTATTTACTCTAAGGGGAAATTCACATTCCTAGTGTTCATAAATACAACAGTTTAAGTTTTAAAAAAAAATAAAAAAAAAATAACAATCATAATAACTCAATTACTGCTCTTTACTAAATTGACTAGATACCTACATTAAAATATACAATTTCTAATTATATTTACTCTAATCGATTCACAGCTTTGATCCATTTGTTTTTTAGGTCTTTTTCGTGTGGACGATTAGGAAAATTATAAAATTTAATATTGGACGAATTTTTATAGGTGTTGTTACAAGAAACTACACAACAGTTATTATTTGATTTGCTCATTTTTTAAAAAACAGAATAAATAGTATCATAATAATAATAAATATTTTATGATCAACTGAGAATTAATATTATAATATAACACTTTACGCCTTTACAAATTATTCAAGTAATTCAACATTCGTACGAATCTGAAATCAAACTAGTATACTATACCTACAACCTACTACATGTCTACATCATGCGTATTATAAATTACAATTATCATATTTTATCACTCCCGAAAGAAGTTCACGAAGTGTCCGCTGTCCGCGCCACATGTGTACATGACCGGTCTCTATAGAGGTTCGGAATTAACCCATAGGAGGCGCCCTCGGTTTCTTGGCCTGTTACGTTGGAATTACGTATATATGACGGCCCGTGGGTTCCCAGCTACCTGTAACCCAGTGCCGCAACTTAGTTATTTAGGGCCCCAGGGCAAATTTAATTTCGGGCCCTATAACTATAGGGGGTACATAATATCATAAAATGCTGCTATACATTTTTTTTTTTTGGATAAAATTAAAAGACATGATAAATGATTATTATTTTGTATATCTATTTTATTCTATGTTTCTGTGGAAATATTATCTGTATTTAATATTTATATAATTTATTTTATATATTTAAATAATTTTAATAAACTTAACAATACATTAATTCATACTTAATCAAATTTCATTTTTCTTGCTTTCATATTTGAAAAATTTGTTAATATTTTGTCAATATCAATTTCTTTTGTACGAAGCTGTTCAATATTTAAAATTGAAATATTGGACAGTCGTTCTTGTCCAATTGAATTTCTTAAATAGCTTTTTATTATCTTAAGTTTTGAAAAAGACCTTTCTGCTGTTGCAACCGTTACTGGCAATGTCAAATAAATTATACATGCTCCTAATATATCAGAGTAACTCTTGGCAAAATCGTTTTCGAGAATAAATGAAGCCAGTGCTTGGAAACTATTCAAATTTTTATTATTTATAATTTCTTTGATTGATAGCAGTTGACTCGTTAAATCAGAACTTATATCTGTTTGATACATTTGTATAAAGTCATATGATCCTTTAATAGTAATTTCATCTGGTCCTAATAGTGTTTGAGGTTTCAAAAAATTGAAAATGGTACAAACGTTAGAGTGTGTAGCCGTTCTCTTACAGCTGATAAGAACTCGGAAAAAAAAAGAAAAAATTTATCGGATCATGTTTACCAATACTAAAACATAAATTCCCTGTACCATTATGTACCATAAAGACATTACCAACATTATCATAAATTCTATTATTGTTAAAGTTTCGATCATATAAAAATATTACAAAGTACTAACTACTAAGCAGTAAGTAACAATAATGCAATAATTGCAATATTGTATAATTTTTCTATAAAGATATTATTTAATGCAAGACATAATATTATTTAAATGTTATAACTGTTAATTAATAGTGTCATAATTGGTATGAAATGCCACAAAACATTCATCATTCATGCAATGTTCAGTTATTATTGTTGTATTGGAATAATCTTGTTTATGCGTTTAAAAATACTCTATAGTTTATTTATAAGTTCAAAAATAAACCCAAGTCCCAAATAATTATAATAATATCTCATTAGTTATTAGCACGATTAAAGATAACTTTAATCGTGGTCGTTAGTCATTATTATAGATATAAGTATTGGATTTCTGTTTCGCCATTTTTTTGTAATTTGGCGGTTGAATTTTAATTTTAATTAATTAATCCTAATTACTCATTAGATTAATCAACAGGTGTTAGAGAAAAGTACATTAATACCATAGATAATAAAGATGATACAATTGATACATTAATACACGAGTAACAGTATTCTAGTATATGATCTAAGTTAATACATTAATAAAAAAGTACATTTACTACAGGCTGGCCCTAAAACTGATATTAAATTATTATTTTGAACATTGACATTTTTATCGGTTGGTAATGTTGGTATGAGATTATTATTTTTTTTTTCCCCTTATCATTTGTAAGAGAACGGCTTTTGGCCCCAAACGTTATGTAAACCTTTAAAGCGATCTTTATGTTGACATATTATTGTGTCAAAAATTGGTAAAAATACTTTTATTTTAAAATTATCTTGTGTGATATTCAACCGTCTGTCGCCATCTATTTCATCAAAAAACAATCTTGCTTTTTTTTGGTGAGCCACTTTGTCATCAGTTGGAATACCCCATTTAATTGCCAGGTTGCTTGCATTTTCAACTACACTACAATAGTCATTCCTTAGTTGCTGCATACATGTATAGGCATCAGTCAATCTATCTAATGCTTTCTGGAGGTGAATGTCTTGCTTCTGCAAAAGTTTAGAGATACCATGCAAAGGGCTCAATGCTCGTGCCCACAAACATAACATAAGTAAAAATACAAAAGATTCTATTTTTTTTTTAATTGAAATTGCCATATGTTTTTCATCTACTTTATTACTTGATAAACTCATGTATGTTAATGATTTTATAACTCCTATATACCTTTGTTTTAATGCAGATACTGATGAATGCCTCCCAGCGAGTAGGACAAACTTTTTTTAATACTTTAAGACTTAAGTCTAATTGTTTTGGAAGTGTCATCACCAAATGCAAATTATGCCAATATAGTACAACTAGAACTATAAAAATTGAATATAGTTTGTAATATTGTAAAAAAGTTAGTTGCAACTTTCGTCAATTTTGCTGCATCACAAATCATCAAGTTAAGGTTATGTGCGCAGCAGTGTACATAATGTGAATTCGACACAGTAGTCAGTAGAAGATATTCTTTGTTGCACTCCTGAATAAGCTCCACTCATTACTGCTGCACCATCATAACCCTGCAGGCCTCGACAATTTTGGATGCCTAAATTGTATTTTTTCAACACGTCATAAATAAGATTTTCATACCTAGTCCTTTGAGCCATAGTTCTCTAATTCAAAAAACCCAAAAAAAGATTCTTTTACTTCAAATGATTTTGTTTCGTAGTTTAAAATAACATAATGCAGTATACCTAACACTCAATTGATCAATTTTGTTATATCTTGTGTCGAATCTACTATTATTGAATAATATTTAGATCTTTTTACTTCGTTTGCTAATATATTTAATACTTCTAAAGGATAATAAATGAATGAATGAATTTTTTTATATTTATAAAATTTATGTTATAAATGTGAAATAATTTAATATACATAGAGCCATAGAGGCATAAGCTATAAATTTTATTGGTGAATTATTATTTTGTATGTAGGTACCTAAATGTAAACGAAAGAGATATTTTTATTCTATTTTTATTTTTCACTTTTGTGGTGCTTACTTTGGTTTATAAGACAAACTAAGTATTCAATGTAGCCAACGCCAAGATGATCGGTGATTTTTTCATCATTAATCTTTTATCACAGAATAAATCTATGAAATTAAATTGACTTGCCGCCAAAGACCTTATACTACTAAGGCCATAGATTGTACTATATACTATATTCTTTAATCTTGCTTATACCATAGACTTTTACCGCATTATTACTAATCGATTATGAACTCCTTAATATTTAATATTTAAAATAATTCCATTCAAAATACATTTTTACAAAATCAAAAACCAGGAAAAATAATAATAGTATCCATCCATTATGGGCCCCCTTTGAAAAATACATTTGGGCCCTTTGGCAGGGCTTTGCCCTGCTTGCCCTGGTGGTAGTTGCGGTTAACCTATACATTTTGTCCAAAGGTCAACGATAAGAATTGTTTTGAGAAGTTAATTGATAAAAATAATCTCATTCATCGCGCGTACACCAATACTCCAATTATATTTTAAACGATAAAATACACACCGATCTTTCACAAAGCTAGGTACAATTAGCCGGTTTGTCCATAAAAATAAATAAAAGAAGTAATAACCCCCCAAAATATATTAATATATAAATATTAAATACTCCCAAAAATGAGGGATGATCAACTATGACTTCAATACTATTTTAGGTAGGTACCCTGTATACACATTTTTTTTCAACTACAAAGCTGTACTAATAATTAATATAGGCTACCTATATATTTTATCTCCCTCCTCAATGTGTTCGCCATCTACCCCAGGTAGATTGCCTACCTGATAATATACTGTTCGCATTACCATATGAGAAACTCAAGCGGGATGGCTAAAAAATAAAATTTAATATGATTTTGCTTCCATACCTATGCAGAGCGAATTACACCAAAAAGGGTTAAAATTGTTTTTTTTAATCATCGGATTTTAGTATGGTTAGGTTAGGAGTTTGTATTAATTGATTATATTCATCCACCGTAGGTGAAATTAAGTGAAAACGACAAAACTTGGTATAACTTTGATACTTTAGAGTTAAATCATACACATACGTACCAACAGCACAGGGTCCTCGATCTACCGTAGATTGCCTACCTGATAATGTACTGCTGTGATTCAGAATTTTTATTCCGGGCAACGGAAAAGATAAGATAAATTTTGAACGCCGTACACCGAATATTAAATAACGAATTGAACAAAGTTGGAGTCATATAGAGTTGATACATTTAACGGGCAACGAAGTGCACGGGATCAGCTAGTAGTTTATATATGTAATATTTTAGATTCTGAGTGGAACGATGAATGTATTGATTTTACAATGATGTGTGTTTTTTTTATTTTTTATTTTTTATTATTTTTTTTTATGTCTGTGTGCACGATAAATAGTCGAAATAATGCTTCGATTTTCAACTTCAGTATATTGTTCGATTGGAAAGTGAATAATGTTCGTGTACTGGGGAGGTCAAAATTTAAAATTCCCAGTAATTTTCAAAAGCTCCAAGAAAAACATAAGAAAAATTAACGAAAAACGAGAATTTTTACACAAAATCGATACCTAAGTTACCTTAGGATATTTTTTACAATCCATAAAACGTTACCAATTGATCGATATGGAAATTAAAATCACGTCCAATTTTTTTGTCACATGGCAGGGCCAATTAATTGCTGTAAATAATAAATAAAGATTGATTAAAAAGACGTCTCGTCGTACCCACGTATGTGTGGTCTTAGTTAAAATAGCAAACTTCAGTTCAGCCGTTCCAATTTATGTTGTTAGCTTAGATGTATTTAATTTATTTAATTTTAAAGTGAATTGACCTACTATCAAACTTAAACGTAAGAATATTATTTGTGTTCTCTTGTTAGACGTTAAATTTGTACGATATATTAGTTTTTGAGAGAGTTATATATGAGTATGTAAAATATTAACACAGTGAAACTCCCATATAAACACATATAGGTATAACGCATATATAATATAATATAACGCACTTCCATTTGACGAAATTATCTGATTAACAAAATATTTACAATATAATTTTTTTTTTGCCTATCACGAGACTTTGTAATATAAATATTTCAATGTATTTAAAAATGTTCATTACTTGCTAACACTTACAATATAGTAAAAACAAAAATATGGAAGTGGGTGTCGCTCTGCTGTACAGTAGGTTACAAGTGGGTCACTGTATAATGGATGATATTAAAATTGAATTCAACGATATAATATCATTGTATAAGAAAAACGATTCTGAGCGGAGACAGTGTGTCAGTCTAGGTATAAGACATATTATATACATTATACATATCTATGGTACTAAACCAAAATTTGACCTATAATAGGTATACAAATTAATCATATCAGTATCACAATATCCATTAGGTACTTATAAGCGTTATACATCAACAACAAACCGCGATACTATCATAGATATATAATAGTACACTTTAGAAGTTTCAAGTATCCACGAATAATATTATTCAATCACAACAAAATAACTAAAATAGTTGTTCTAGGTTTGTTAATATGTAATTTCGTCCAAATTTGAATTTAAAATGTCTGTAAAAAATAAGTGTGTTTATATATTTTTTAGATTTTTTGGTTACAGTATGAATTATTTAAGAGAATTTTTGTTTTAAATTTTCAACTCTTAGTTATAAAAACTGAACATTTTATAATTTTTTAATTCCAACGATTGATAATTTTCGAGATTTTGATAAATTTTGTCAAAATTCCAACTTTAAATGCTTATAAAAAAAAATCGTGCCTATGTATTTTTAATATTTTTCAACTGATATTGTAACAATATATCAGGAGCCTTGTATTAAATTTTTACACTTTTTGGCCCAACAGATAAAACTTTATTGATATTTATAGAAAAAAAAACTAAAAAAAATTGAAATCTGTAAATGTCCATAAACAGCTCAAAAAGAGTCAAAATATTTTCAAAATTGTATGGTGTATAGAAAATGCTAATTTAAACATTCAGTGAAATTTTCATGTATCTACAGTTGTTCGTTTTTGAATTGCAACGAAATAAAGAAATCGCTACATGAGTAATCGAGTGAATATCCAATGTTGTAAATATTTGAATTTCAAACGCTCATAAAAATTTAATTTGACTGTCCGGTAGAGATTTTTTTATTGATAAAGGTAGACAAACTTATGAGTAATCTTCCCGTTTTTCCTTAATTTTTATGTTGTTTTTTCCCGGCGCTTGTGAAAACTACTGGGAAATTTATACTTTTGACCCCCCAAAGTACCACCTAGATTCACTTTCCTATCAGAAAAGCTACTGATGAAGAAAATCCAAGCACTTTTACTGTCCTAAAACGTGATGACAGACACAAAAATATAAAAAAAATATAAAAACATACATCATTGTAAAACCAATACATTCATCGCTCCGCTCAGAATCTAAAAAAGGGATATGAATAATCTGATATTATTATTATTTATTTTTAATGTTTAAAATTCAAATAAAAATAGCATTAATTTAAAAAAAGCTAGAATTTTGCCCTCTATTACCAATGTCCAGGGCCCCGCAATACCCAGCACCGGCACTGACAATGATGATAGGTATAATGGTATAAATATTTTTTTTTTAAGCCTGGGAGAAAATTTAATATTTTTTACGTACCTACCTATTTAGTGTATGATAATTTATATATATTTACCGTATAGCATTTTACAGGGAGATTTCACAATTTTTGTCCACGAATTCTTCGTTTCAGAAAAATATTTACCGTATTTTAAAGTTACAGAGAGTTTGCACACTCAAAATCTCACAATTTTTGAATAATTTAGGTAAAAAAACTTGTGTAAATATATTATTTAAGAATTCATTTATATCAATAAAAAAATCTATTATTACATATTTTGTGTTCTATACTTTAAATAATTATTTCATTTTAATAATAAGGTTTGTTGGGGAAAAAAACATTTAGTGTGTACAAGGTAAATATTTTTGAGTAAGCTCCAAAACCGATTTTGAGTGTGCAAACTCTCTGTAACTTTAAAATACGGTAAATATTTTTGTGTTAGGCGCGAATAGGTGGACCACGAGTGTGAAATCTCCCCGTGATTTTCACCGCGGTAAAATAATTGTGTTCAAGCGGGACATCCTGACTTGAACGTTGTGAAATTACCG